CCCGAACCCAGCAACTAAAGACGACACAATTTGCGAGAATATGAATGCTGCCATTGGCATAACACCCGGACGGTCCAGCCACGAAAACTTACTTGTTCGAGTGACAAAGATTAGCGCCATTCCAGAGATGGATACTTGCGCGTACATAAGCGCGCGCAAGCGAGATTGTCGTTCCCACGTCACCTCCGCCACACATTGATTATAGTTGTCTGAACCAACAGCGAGCCCTTTTTGAAACTCACAGTATACATCCGAGACAGTGTATTGCAGCGACTGCATATTCAGTGCAGATCCGCCTTCAAAGAAATCGGTGTGGGACGCAATGTAGAAGAGCGCCCACGACGATAATGTCAGGTATAGACCATACACCAAACCATTGATGAAGATGGACTGTAAGAACCAGGCATCCGGGTTACGACTAGGAGTAACTCGATCCTTCGATAGAGAAATCATGGCGCCGTCGTTGAAAATGGCTAGCAGCACAATTAGAATTGTAGGGAAATACCAATCGTACAAGACAGTCAGCAAACCGAACGTGAAACAGATACGGAAGGTCATGGCAACAGTGTACTTAGCATAACTCTTCATACGCTGAAAGATCTTTCGAGCGCCGATAATAGCATCAATGATTACGCCCAAACCCGCTTCCGTCAGCACGATGTCAGCCGCAGCTCTTGCCGCATCCGTGGCATCAGATACAGCGATGCCGATGTCACCTTTCTTCAAAGCAGGAGCATCATTTACCCCATCGCCTGTCATGCCAGTAATGTGGCCTCTCTCCTGGAGTCGTTTGACAATATCATACTTGTGTTCGGGGAAGACCTCTGCGAATCCATCCGCATTCTCAACCAGCTCAGATAACGTCATTGTACCATCTACCAAGCCTGAGTGCTCGTCCTTGAACACCTCCGTTGTATACATATTGGTGCCCATACCAAGCTGTCTGGCTGTCTCGATACCAATGGGTAGCTGATCACCGGTGATCATTTTGACTCCGATCCCTAATTCCAGGCATTTTGCGATGGTGTCTTTCGTATCATGGCGTGGTGGGTCAAAGATTGGAATTAAGCCTACAAACTCCCACTTGTCACTATCCTTACCGTCAGAATATCCTACCCCTAGCGCCCTGTAGCCGCGACTGGCGTATTCCAGGATGCGGCCTTCAAACTTGTCTTTGATCTGCTCGTAGTTGTGGGCCATCTGCAAAATAACTTGAGGAGCACCCTTGGATGCACGGAAAGTCTTTCCAGTTGCGACCTCTTCAATCGTAGCAATGGTGCGCTTGTCACTTGGATTAAAGGGTACATACTTGGTGCATTTGTATTCGTTCCAAAGTGTATCCTTCTTCTCGCCATATGCGTCGTGGCAACATAAGTCGATAGGTTCCTCGTTCTCGATTTTAGCGCCCAGTGCACCGTACAATAGGATATCGTCAGGAGTGAAATCATCACCAGACTCCAAATTACTCTTATCCACGCTGAGCTGATTGAGGGTAAGCGTGCCTGTCTTATCTGAGCAAAGCATGTCCATGCCAGCCAGTTCCTCGATAGCCGTCAGTCGCGTTACGATCGCTCCTTTTGATGCAAGCTTATAAGCTCCCATAGCCAAAGTTACCGACAATACTGTTGGCATCGCAATAGGGATACCGCCTACGATAATAACTAACATATTTGAGAGTGTTGGGCAAGATCCTTCCTCGCCAAGTGTACACTCGTGACCATAATGTCCGAATTGAACAGCCAGTTCTATAATCACCCAGACAGTAATGGTGATGATACAGATTGCACCGATGCGAGACATGACTATTTGCAAATGGCCATCTGAGTCTGTTTCACCTATAAGTGAGGCAGCTTTGCCGAAAAAGGTGTTAGCCCCGGTACCATATACTACAGCCAAGCTCTCGCCCTGCTTGACGGTTGAACCAGAGAACGCGCATTGGCCTCCAAAACGCTTAACAGGTAGAGACTCTCCAGTCAGTGCAGCCTGATCAATTTGCAAAGGCTCGTGATCCTCAGCGCAAATTAATTTGATGTCAGCAGCAACTACGTCGCCGAGTCGGACGAGCACAATATCACCGGGGACTAACTGCGAAGCTTCAATAGTTTTTATTGCTCCGTCACGAAGCACTTTCGCCTGCGGAGCTAAGGATGCAGCTAATGCGGCAATAGCATCACCAGCAGCCGCTTCCTCGCGATAACCAATAGCGGCATTCAGCAATAAAAGAACGATAATCAGGATGAAATCAATGTAATCAATAAGAATGATTGAAATGATTGCCGCCACTTCCATGCACCACGACAGTGGGTTCCATAGAAATTTAAGGAATTCCAGGATAGGATTTTTCACGGTCTCCGGGAGTTTGTTTGGGCCATAGCGAGCCAACCTTTGTTCCGCATCCGTGCTTGATAGGCCATCCTCGGTTG